TCAAGTTTTTGTTAAGTTATTCTTGTTTAAAATTTTAAAAAAACTTACTAAAAAAAATTTGCTTGGTTTCTATTGACGCAACCCCATATAATGAATTAAAAAAAATAATTGAGAGTTTAAATATACAAGCTAACAAATGAATTTTATACTTAAAAGCTACATTAAATCAATAGAGAAAACTTCTAGTTAATATATAAAGATTTATCTACTTTGGGCTCATGTGCTAACCAATTAGCAAAGCACGACATATGACACCCACACTTGCATTTAATTGGTCGATTAGATAATTTTCATTGAATATTTAATGAATTATTCACATGTCGAATCGGGCTCCAATCGGCATCACATAGAAGACCTTTAAGTAGGGTGTGCAATGGTGGGCCGGGTTTGCTTAGACCCGTTAAATTATGAGCCCAGCCTGGGCCCGGCCCAATTCATTATAGAACTAAAAATCTAGGCCTGAACAATATAAATTACTGGGTTTGACCCGGCCCAAGCTCAACCCGTTTTTACAAGCCCGGCCCAAGCCCGACCCAATTAATTTACGGGCTTGAAAATCCAGACCCAGGCCCGGCCCGAACCCGCAAATTATCGGGTTTGGCCCGGACCCTACCTTTAAGATACATATAGGCGTTAAATACATATTGGAATGCCGATAGATCTATTGCTAAATCGATAAAGCTTGCCTTATAGCTTTATTGATTTACCTATAAAGTTATCGGCATTCCGATATGTATTGAACGCCTATGAACCCAATTTGTATCTTAAAGCTCTCCTATTTGCGCCAAATATCTGTTTCAAATCAGGTTCATATCGGGATTGCGCGATGCCGTGATTCGATGAAAAATTTTTATATTCGAATATAAGATCAGACCTCTATGCTTTTTACAAGACAATAATGAAACTAAAAAACTACTGATATCAAAACGACATAGTGTACACCGATCTATTGTTCTATTCATAGTAAACTCACATGGCCTGTGTACCTCATTATACATAGCCACTAAAATTTCTTTAACCAAATTTATATAAAGTCCCATTTAAATGTGTCATTGGGCGTTTATAAACAATGTTCCGATCAACTTGGGGACACAAAAGCTGTTTTCCAATTTTAGTTAATTAAAATTTTCTCACATAAATAAATAGTATAAACTCTAATAAATTAAATTTAAAAGTAAATTATATAATAATGTTTATTTTAGTCTCAACCAAATTTGCTTTGTTTAAATAGCATACAACTTAATCCTTTAGAGGTATCGGTATATGTAGTTAATCACAAAAATTTTTAGTTACGTACGTAGCATATTATTAATAGAAAATGTCGCAAATGTCGTGACAATTTGTCAATACAATCAATATCCTAAAAAAGATTGATTATTATATAATATGTTTAAGTGTACATACAGGAAACGTCCGAACCCGAACTCTGGATCTTAAATATTATAGCTAAAAAATTTCATTCTATGCAAAATTTTGCGTTATCATTAATATAAATTCTATAATTTTATTGGTTCTGACACAAAAATTAGGTTACCTGATCGAATCGGGGAAGTAGTGCTACATGTATATCAATACAATATGTAATTCTATAATAAATCCCCTGATACCGAATGCATTTTTTTTTATTTAGCCAATAATTGAAGTCCAAAATGTAATTTGTACAGTATTTGTGTTAATTTACAAGATGGTTTGCCCAGTTTTTATGCTTCGACTTTTTTTCTTGGCAAGGAAGGGGTATAGATAAAATAAATAGATTTAAAGAAAGGATACTCGTATCCATCTCTGGGTCTTCATAAACTACCCTCCAATCCTGTGTTTGAACATATAATTTCGCTTTTTCCTTCCTTTCATCTTTTCCGGACATAGCAATCTCGATCTTAACTCTCGTAGACAATGCATCTTATCAAGTCAGCGGTTACTACCAATAGTCACATACTTTCAATACATGAAGATGCCCTTGTCTCTCGGTCAACGAGATCTAAGACAATACAAAATCTCCAACAAAATAGACGACAAACAATAGAAAATAGTATTAATATATCAACTTGTGAATCCACTGAAGCACTAATGGAAACTCTTGATAATAAATCTGTTAAAAAATCGAGTCCTCACGAAGGTTATGTGTTAGTGACTGGTGGTGCTGGTTACATTGGCAGTCATACCGTTTTAGAACTTTTAATATGTGGGTATAATGTTGTTGTTGTCGATAATTTGTCGAATTCATGTGAAGGTTTGTATTAACTTTTTCTTAACAAATTCAAAATATTTTAAAATATTTAAATTAATCACAAGATTGATATATATATATATATTTCATATTAGAATCATTAATTCGCGTTCAAACACTTGCAAAACGACCATTAAAATTTCACCACGCAAATATTTTGGATGAACAGACATTAATCCCAGTATTTGAAAAATATGATATTTGGGCTGTTTTACATTTTGCTGCTCTTAAAGCTGTTGGAGAATCAACAAAAATTCCACTTGATTATTACTTGAATAATGTGACGGGTTCTTTAAATTTGTTTAGAGTAATGGAACGATATGGTGTCTATAATATAGTATTCTCTAGTAGTGCTACTGTATATGGTCAACCAGATACAATTCCTGTAAATGAGAAATGTAGTTTGGGCCCAGTGACAAATCCATATGGCAAGACGAAATTATTTATAGAAGAGGCAATACGAGATATGTGCGCAGCGAATAATAAATGGAATGCCATACTTTTAAGGTAAAAAAAAAAAAAACTTAGGTTTATATAATATATTTTTGTCGATCACTATTCTTTACTTACCATGTATGATTAATTATCTTTATAGGTATTTCAATCCTACGGGTGCCCATCCATCTGGTATTATTGGAGAAAATCCTCGTGGTATTCCAAATAATTTAATGCCTTATGTAAGTCAGGTTGTTCAAGGTCGTTTACCTTTTGTTAAGATCTTTGGCGGAGATTATGACACAGTTGATGGTACAGGTAATGTATATATATGTATATTTTTTTTTTCAATTAAAGTAGAGATCCAATTCATTAAGCATTTATCGGATAATATATAGTTATTGGATGCGAAGCAGCCAATAACTATATATTATTTGTAAAATAGAGTTATTGGCTAGCGTAACAGGGGGAAACGTTGAAACGTCACAAAATTGTTACACAATTGATAAAAATTTTTTTTATATTATTTTACAATACT